ATGGCTATATTATGGAACACATTAACACTTTTTAAAATGGAGGCACACACATGACATGAGACTCATCGTCATTAATCCTTTTCTACAAAGCATGCTGGGAGGCTTCCGTACACACTTAAACCCTGTAGTGCTCCAATGAGAGAGGTAAAAGGTGCCTCTATTTGAATAGATAATTATAAATGATTAGACTCTGTCACCTGCTACAATATAGTTGCTGCTTCAAGAGCCTTGCAGAATTGATTTAGGAAAGACCTCTACTGATAGCACACAGAATATTCTGCAAAATCACATCCCCTCTGTTATTTTAAGAGCATTCTCAGTAATCTTCAAGTATTGGCTCCAATCATTTTTTAACTAAACCTGCATTCTGTCCTGTTTTAAATCCATAGTTTCAACCGAGCACAGTCATGCCTGTCCTTCACCTAATTATAAATTGAAATATAACTCGATGACCATCACATTTTCAGGAGCCGGACAGAGGGAAATGAAGTAACCGGAACTAATTTCTTCAATTGTGTGCTATACAAGTGTGCTATACAAATCTTTATACTATACACGTCGAATGATATCAAATTGTTCTTCCATTTTGTGCGTGTCCGTGCACACCTGATTTCTTGCAGTCATGTAGGAACATAATTTATGTGAAAAAGGAGATGCTTAGCTACAGCAAAAGAAAAAAGGCATTTACTGGGGCGCACATAGCTCACCGGATAGATCGCAAACCATTAAAACTGAGTCCTTAATGCAGCGGCACAAGTTCTAGTTCGGCCCAGGTCCCTTTGCTGCATGTCATCGCCTGTCTCTTCCCCCCCCCCTTTCCTGGCTGTCTCTCTCACTAGGTATTAAAGATGAATCCCGGTGTGGCTCTTCACTAGAATGTTTGCTATTTTTAAGGTGCAATATACTCAGTGACTTGTTCAGGTTGGGCCCAAGTCAGTTGCTGCTTTGTAATGCCCAACTGCAAGTCTGTTTAATACTGTGCATACATATTAATCATATCGTGTTGAGACAACCGTATCAGTGGTGATAGCACATTTGTGGCATGTTTATTTATTGTTTTTTCTATCTCTGGAGATGTGGTTACTGCCGTTATTTGTAGCATAACTTGTATATATTGTATCAACTTATTTAAACTGTTCATTCTGATAACTACACAAAGAACTGTTAACAGTGCTGTGAATTGATTGTAAACGAAGTGCAGGAGAAAAGACTAGAGTGAATATTTATCACCAAAGATGTCACCACAGTCGAGAAAGCAAGAATCTCACATAAAATGTCACTTTGATGCATTGTCAGCAAGATTTAAATTGCATCTGTCAAGGCTCTAAGCCAATTGAACTAAATCTCTAATAATTCACACACACACACACACACACACACACACACACACACACACACACACAC